AGCACAAACAATGTTGCTAGCTATTTTGCTAAAAAATAGCGCTATTTTAGATGCTACTAAAATCCACTGGCTCTGCTTTGGTCGTGTATCGACATGCATTTTAAGTGCAAATTTTTTAAATGCAGGGTTTGCTATGTGGTCGGTCTGAAATGTGTAAGGAGTTTACAATAGGTATTTTCTTGGAGTTCAAGCCTACCTTTTATTACGATCGAAATTTGTGATATGCATATTTCATAAAATTTGTGCTATGTAAAATAAAATTATGGAAAATATTACAATTCACAAAATTGTATTAATTAAATCTACCTTTATGTTCTAAGTTTTTATAAGTGAAAGAAACTCCTGTTACCTATCAATGTGGAGAACGTATCAATATCTAAACCATGAATAACATAGAATTACAATTACACAAACAATTCATGCAGCTAAATAAGCAATAGTGCAATTAAGGCAAATTTTCTCTTGTAAGAATATGTTTACTTTACTACGAAACGCGGCTCTTTGTAGCCTGTGGCCAAAAATAGACTTGTCAGCTATAAATCGGCGTGTAAGTACCTCGAAAGGTCTCTACTTTTTTGCTTGAAATTTATTGTAAAGCTTTTTAATGCTTTAATTAGTTATTTATTTAGGCTCTAACAACGACTATAAGACTATTAAAAAATCTTGATGACAAAGTTAGTTTTCCAGGCGCAACTGAGAGCCATTTCACTACTGAAATGCAGTTTATTCACAATATCGCACCTATACCAACGTATCGTGTTATGGATCTGCATGGAAAGGCTATTGATCCTACTCAGGAACCACAGGTATTCAAAAAAAACACACATTATAATTTAATAAAAAATATCGGATTAATTTTTTTTTTTTAAAAAAAAAACCTTAAGGTATCTAAAGAATTTGCTGTAAAGATATACAAAGATATGATCACTTTAAATACTATGGATCTCATTCTTTACGAAGCTCAACGTCAAGGTCGTATAAGTTTCTATATGACAAATTATGGTGAAGAGGCTTACATTGGTAGTGCTGCTGCTTTGGATAGCCAAGATGTCATTTTTGGTCAATATAGGGAATCCGGCGTGTTGTTATATCGTGGATTCACGCTTGATAATTTCATGAATCAGTGTTATAGTAACGAAAAGGATATAGGAAAAGGCAGGCAAATGCCTGTACATTATGGATCTAAAGAGTTAAACTTTCAAACAATCTCTTCACCGGTTGCAACGCAACTCCCGCAGGCCTCAGGTGCTGCGTATGCACTCAAAAGATCTGGAAAAAAGAATTGTATTATGTGCTATTTTGGTGAAGGTTCTGCAAGTGAGGGTGATTTCCATGCGGCTTTGAACGTGGCAGCGACAATGAAATGTCCTGTAATATTTTTTTGGTAAAAAATTGTCTTTACTTATTATATATGTGTTAAATGACTTCATTATTTACTTAATTTATCTATATTATAAAGTCGAAACAACGGTTTTGCTATTTCTACTCCTGCATTAGAGCAATACAAAGGAGATGGTATAGCAAGTAGGGGAATTGGTTATGGAATCGATACAGTACGTGTTGATGGAAATGATGTTTGGGCCGTTTATAATGCTACCAAAGTTGCACGGCAACTTTCAGTCGAAGAACATCGACCAGTTTTAATAGAAGCAATGACGTATAGGGTTAGTCATCATAGTACTTCTGATGATTCCTTTGCATATCGTTCCAAAAAAGAAGTGGAATATTGGAAACAGCTTGATAATCCCATCGTTCGGTTTCGCAAGTGGCTTGAGGATAAGGTTTGTTTTTTTTTTCATTAAATTCTTAATTTGATTTTTTTGGGTACATCGATTTATAATTAAATATCTATCATTTTAGAATTGGTGGAATGAACTTGAAGAAAATTCTTTTAGAACTTCAATTCGCAAAGAAGTTTTAAGTGCATTTTCTAAAGCCGAAAAACTTTTAAAACCTTCTATCACTGATCTTTTTAATGATGTTTATGATCGCCCTCCACAAAGTATCGTTGATCAGAGGCAAAAGTTAAAAACCTTAATAGAGAAATATCCTGAAAACTACCCACTTAAAAATTATAAAAACGAAGGAAAAGATCTGTGAAAAGACACACACATATATATATATTTGAAATTAATTTTAAAACATTATTGATATTGATACGTGTAAAGTTACAAATTTACTTTATATAATAATATATATAATTTTAATTGGTTCTTTGATTTACTTTGTTAATTTATAACAATTATTTCTTTAACAAGTAGCAAAATTAGCCGGATTAGGTGTGACAAATCTCTTGAAAAATTTTACAACCTGCACTAACAACTAACTCCTGTTTTGCTTCAGGTATATACACAGAAGAAGGCTTTCCTCTTAAAGATAATACATACAATAAGACGTTGGGTTTTAATTAGACAAAAAGCTTTTTACGAGTTTAAATCTCTTTCATATTCACGAGGGTGAACCTAGATAACATCTATTATTATTAAACTCTAACAAAGATTATACTAATTAAGTTAACTTCAGAGAATAAAATTTCATCGATAATTTATTATAGCAGTTTATCAATAAATATAGCAAAAAAAAAGGTTGTGCGAATTATTTATTGAAAAAATCGATTAGCTAACTTTGGTCAGATGTCATAATAGTCGAAACATGGTCTTGCATGAAGAGCCCAATGATAAGATATGGTTTAGCACTTGATACTTGTTGTTCAACAATGATGATCTTTATAAATTACGAAATTTATTAATTATTTATCGAAGTGTAGAAAAAAAACATCAAAAATTTTTTTGATTCTTTAGAAAATTTTATTTACATCATATTTTATTTTTTAAAAAAAGAAACAACAACATTTATGCCAAACAAAACGAAATAACAAGACGGTTGCTGCTGGAAATCGAACCCAGTAGTATATTACCGACAGACAATGACTTCGCGCACTTAATACTCGATAGCAATCTCTAAAAATAAAACTCTCAGATCGAAGCTCTAAAAGTAAACTCTCAAAGCAAAGCTCTAAAATTAAATTTCAAAAGTAAAACTTTGTCATCATATTAAGCTTTTTTAATTATTAAAAATATCAAATAAAAGCATTACAAGCGGTAAATTATAATCATCAATATATTTCATAATAATTAGCAAACCCAATAAAGCTGTAAAAATATTTATTAAAATATTTCATATTATACTGTATATGCAAAAGTATTACAATTCAGTGTTGGCTTGACCAGACCAGTTTGACCATTGGACCAGACCAATTTGACCAATTTGACCGGTCTGGTCAAAGGATCTATACTGGTCAAATTGGTCAAATAGTATATTTAAATATAATTTATTACTGTATTGACCAATTTAACCAGTTGACCAAACCAATTTGACCAGTAAATTTTTGGTCGACCACTAATTTGCCCAACACTGAGTTAAAGTATATATGCTATTTGATATTACCAATTTGCATTTAGTAACAAATAACCAGAGTGAATTTAAGTTTTTAATCAATTCAAAAAGTATCAAATTATTATTAGAATAATACATGGTTTAATAAAAAAAAATCAATTAGAGAAGGTTTATATAAACAAAAACTTGGTGTGTTTAAATAGGCATGCCCATAGGTAGGGATGTTAAAAGTTCGGTTTGGTTTGACTCAACTCCAAAAGTCGAGTCTTAATTAAAGTTCGGCTCCGAGTCAGACTTGAACTTGACTCGCACATGAAATGCGAGTCAAGTTCATTAATTAAGACTCGACTTTTGGAGTCAAGTCGAACCAAACTAAGCTTTTAACATCCACACCCATAAGACATTGGGGTCATAGGACGACATTCGTATGATTGGTAGATCTACCCGTGATTTCCCGTGATAATTAACCAATCAAATCAATCAA